CTCTCTCTCTCTCTCACTTTCTTTCTCTACTTTATCTCTCTCACACACTCAGACACACAGACACTTTCCCTTTTGGTTTTATTTCCTTCTTAACGTTCTTTTCCTTTTAGTCTTAAAGCTGTTTTGAAGGTCCAACAATTATTTATTACCATAATTCTGTTTTTTTTAAAAGTAGGGCTTCCCAAAAATGTATTGAATTCTATTGGTTAAATTAAAAGTTCTTATATTGTGCAACTAGTACTTTTCGAAGTCTGAAGTCATTTCGCTCCCTTCAAATCAAGACTGAAAATGTTTGTTTTGTGAAAGTAATGTTGTGTGCCTGTCCTTTTATCATGTAGGTCTGAAGGAGGGCCTGTTCCGCAAGCCAGGAAATGGACGTAAAATGAAGATGCTGAAAGAGCAGCTGCTCACCAAAGGAGGAGATGCTTTGATTGATCCTGAATTGTTTGGACCGCATGACGTTGCATGCGTGCTCAAAGAGTTTCTGAGGGAACTGCCAGAACCCCTGCTTACCAACAAGCATATTGAGGCATACAGACAGATTAGGGGTAAGAACCTGTCCTTTTTGCTCGCAGTCTGTAAACATATCTCTGGGGATTTTTGCTCTGTTTGTTAACCTACATACAGGGCTGCCTATTTCTATTACAGATTTCTTCTGGTATTTACTAAAATAAGGTTAGCAAGTTCAAGTCAGTAGCATTTGCAGTGTCTGTTCAGCTTTCCAAATTCTGCAAGTGAATTTCGCGCAAGTGAGCAGATATGGCGGAAGTTTAGGCATCATAACTAGTCTCTGCGATGTCGATCGGGAAAATCAAGATCTACTCTGTTTCATTACCACCTAGATTTTCTGATGTGGGTCTGATTTATATGCGCACAGCTTGTTCGTTATAAAAGCAGGAACATTGTGATTGTGATCAGTATTCATCCTTCGAATACATAAAGACAAGGTCGACCTGAGTTCTGGTTTCTCATCCCTCGTTTTCAAGACCAAACAACTTTTCTGAACTTCAACTGCATCTTTTGACACTTATCAGTATGGAAAGGCAAGACTTTAGGGGAGGGGGGACAAATTTTTTTAAAAGTCATGCTTGAACTGCCTGACGTGAAAGTGGAGGATAAAGTCTGGACAAATACTGTGCAGTGTAGCACAACTATGTCGGAAGGTTTATCGAAATATACCTCATGATAGCTTGTCACTGTATAAAAACATGGGTGGTTAAAACTGGATCTGTAATTTAGCATTTTTTTAAAGTTTATTTTTACAATCTAGCTCCATTTTTAGTACTTTCAACTCCAGCACTCAGTATTGCCATGAGCCTGCCAATTAATCGGTTTTTCTTTTTCCCCCAGTCATATTTTTTTCCTCCTCATCCTTCTTCCTTTTTCTCATATCTTAGTCTTTTGGAAGTTGACTAGACTTAATTATTTGAGATGCACAGATAATAATAATTGCATCTATACAATGCAACCCATACTCTATGGAGTCTACAGCATGCTTTGTGGGCTTTTCAACTATTTGGTCAGTCATCTAATTCCAGGAAAAGGATTATTTCTTATTTAGATTCTAGTACTTATCTGACAAATACATGTATTACTTTTTGGTTGTATTTTTACACAATAATCCTTTTTCTTTTTCTTTCCCAGGCCTAGGTGCCCACGCCGACACGGCTGAGGAAAAAGGGTGGTATGCTCAGAGGAAGCTATCAGCCGTGCAGTTGTTGATACGTTTGGCACCCACCCCAGTGCAGAAGATGGTGAGGTACTTAATGAAGCTGCTGTTGAAAGTTGCTCAAGAGCCAGAGACCAAGATGACACCCACCACTTTAGGCACTATTTTTGCTCCTATTTGCTTCCTCAACCGTAAGGTGTGTAAAAGAATATATTACAATTGTGTTTCCCTTTTTTGGACTCTTCTTGTCTCTTCTTTCTCCACCTCC